GGCTGATGCTGAAGAGCTCCCTTCCAATGTTGCGACCCGTCATCCTTCTATGAAAGTGCCAGTATCTATTGCGCCAAGGAGACTAGCTGAAAGACGGCTTATATCGGGTAAATTGGGACGGAGATCAATACCGCCACCCTTCACCGCATCCTTACAGCATCCTCCTGTTGGAAAGCCCGAAGATGCACCCACACCTAGCAATACCATTCCGTCCCAAACCGGAGCCCAACCTGGAGTTTTAGAACTTCAATCTGTAGGTATGAAATTTCCTCAACTATTTTCATTTCAAGCTAACACTTGTGAAGCGCGATATCAATTACCTAAAAATCCCAAGTATCAAAGCCAGTTCGAAGACCAAAAGACTCTTGGACAACTCAACAATACTTCAGCACCCTCTACAAGTACAATAAAGTCTCCTGTGCTACCCAAAAAGAGACCACTTCTAGAACCAAAATCTAAGAGGGTCCCGGAATCTGATCAGTCTTTTACAGTCCCAGCTTTCCCATCATCAACAATTGTCGAGGCAAATCTATACCCATTTTTAAGTGAGATACCAACAGCGGATTTACGATGCAGAACACCAAAGACACAGGTGCAATCTCTTTCAAGATATCCTTCGTTGTCGAAAGAATGCCCTATGGTGGATATTCATCTAGATGATATTACTAGTTCACAAAGGCAGCCTTTCCTAGTTGGCTCCGAGACAAATGGTAATCGGCACAACAACAGAGATTTTTCTCAACCCAAGATGTGCACCATCGACCTACAGCTTTCCGATCGCATCATACCTTTCCCTTCCGGCTCAACCTCAAAGCAAGACTTCGCATCGCCCCCGCATCAACCCCCAAAAGAAAATTCAATCTCCTCGACCGAACCAAATAAAGACCTCTCCAACAAGCGACTCTACACCGACATGTCAACAACAGACTGGCTCTGCAACAACTACCACAAAACTCCCCGCTCAACATCACAAATCCACTCTCTAACTCATGCCGCCCTCCACGAATCCCGCATCATCAAATCCGCACGCAGGCAATCCTCTCTCTCAACAGCTCTCGCCCAACAACGCCAAGCCTCCCTCTTCCACTACAACAACACTCGCTTCCCCTCTCTCGACACTAATATCCCTTATCAAACCACCACTACTACCACCAATCACCCAATACTCCACTCCCCCTTCTTCCACATTGCCTTCCTCCTCTTCCTCTTCGGCGCCCTCTCATCTGTCGGAGTCTCCATCCCCTTAATCCAAACAGCACCCGACCAGGGAGCCTGGAAGATGGATAATCCACTGCTCCTCGCCATGGTCATTACAGGCTGTGCGTTTGCGGTGGGGAGTCTGTGGCTGTTTGGGCTGGCGGTAGAGTACAAGCTTTTTAAGATGGGGTGGGCGAGGAGGTTAGGGGAGAGGGATTGGTATGGGGGTGGGGAGGTGTATAGACCACGGAGTTGGATGGAGAAGAGGGAATTGGGGGAAGAAAGTGGTGGGGAAAGCGGTTTGAGGTATGATCTTGAATCGGGGACTTTTTATAGGACTCCTGAAGCTGAGAGGCAGATTGGGGATTTGCCGGCTTATATTATGCCTTATTCGTCAAGGGGGAGTGTCAATGAGGTTGTCATGTACTCCGACATCACGGAGGCTGGGTATTCTGCTACCACTCCTCCAGAAACCCCAGCCCCACCAACTTGTCCAGCCACTACCTACTCGAGGTCGTCTAGAAATAGTGACGATGGCTTCAGGATCCTCAGAAAACATGTCGAGCAAATGGAAGAGATTAAGATGGATATAGTGGCGAGAAGTAAGGGGAAGGGGGTTTAAGGAATGGACTTTTGTGGACTTTCTGTATGATACTAAGTAGAAGGCGGTGGTTGTTAGTTGGGGGATAAGAGAATAGCAAGAATTAAAAAGCATTCGGATTCTCCTGTCGAGCGAAGTTGTGAGGAAGGGGTATGCTTTGTGGGTTGACACAGATTGATTAAGGACGGTATAATTCAAGATAATTGTATCTCAGAGTGAGTCGAGGTCACAGAATCAGTTCTTCAAACCAAGTTAATATAGAACTCCAAGCAACATACTGCGCCATAATAGGGATCAACTCTATTATCTACAGGTTAGAAGAAGGCATCGATTTCACTAAACAAGAACTCAACGACATGTGGAGTGGATCAATTATGGTTCCATCAAAAGAAGCGACCCGACTGGCAAATCTCTTGATATCTTTGATGGCGGACATCAAAATTTTCCAGTCAGATGGGAAACATCTTGGGCTCGCCCCAGCTCAAGCGGAGCAAGGCGACGAAATCGTCCTCTTCGACAAAGGAAATGTTCCATTTCTTCTTCGAAGGGTGCCTGAAGAAGAGTATAAGCTGGTTGGACCGTTGTACGTGGATGGCATTATGGATGGCGAATTCTTCCTCCGACAGGATTCAATAAGTGTGATGTTCAAATTACGATGAACTCAGCAAGCGCGGAGTATTCTTATTGTGCAGTTGGGCGACAGAAGGAGGCATTATAGATTATCGTAGGAAAAGCTTGCTTAGCGCAGGACTGACGCAAATATAAGATTGTGACAAAGCCAAGGACTTACGGCTGATGAATGGACCACAGCCCTGCCAGTAACCAATATGAAATTCGTCAAATATAGAGGTTCTATGCTACACTCCATGGATATCATGGCATGTGGAATTAAGCAACTCTCTCTCCCCCCTTCTTATTATCCCTATGTCTCTTCTCCTTCCCAGCGATCTTCCTCCGCTTCTTCCATGCCCGATTGGTATCGCCTCTATGTTCATAAAACCACTTTTGAAAATCACTCTCTTCCTTCTCGCCCTCATTGCTCTTCTCTTTGCCGTTTCCTTTCGGCTTGCTCTTTTCGTTGTTCTTGAACTTCTGATGACGAATGGGGGAACATGATGCAACCTCGTCTTCATCTTCGTCATCATCTCGTGAAGATGGCCACATGAACCTCTTGTTTGCATGAGCTGTGTCCGGTGTTGGTGCCGCGCTACGAAGGCCACGATACTCGAAGTCACGTTGAGTGAAGGGAGTCAACGGGACTTTATCTTGCGCTTCTTCCATTTCTTCGTCCTCGTCAACATCTCCGTCCGCGCCAAAGAAAGAGAATGATGGTACAGCTGACTTTGGAACAGACTCTTGGCCTAGTTTAGGATGTTTGTAAAGTGCTTCGAGCGGGTGAACAGTGGCAGAAACAGGTGTCAATGTTATTTCAGGTTCTGGGATCTTGATGCTTAGGTTGACCGGTGCACCAGAGGACGATTGCGGTCGAGACAGAGGGTGCGGTGAGGTTGCTTCTTTCTGAACAGGCGTGGTATCCTCATCTTCCAAGCTCTCCAAGTCTGATTCTGAATCTGATGATGAGGAGCCGGAGCTCGATGTTTCTGTGTCATTCGAAGGCGCAAGCGCAACAGTCTTCGAAATCATCTCTACAGCAGACGAATACTCGGATTCTTCCTCTGACGAGCTCCCTTCGGGACTACTTTTTTCCTCGGAGGTATCGTCACTCCTTTCCTCAACAGCCGGTGGCGCAGCACCATCAGTGGTGGCTTTCGAAATCGCAGCAGGTTCCTCTTCATCTGATGAGCTGTCATTAGCACTACTTTCGGACTCAGAGTTTTCGCTGTCCTGTTTCTCAATGGCAGCCGGCAGTTCTGGCTTGGAAACCTTCTTTGTTTTAGGTGGTTTTCTTAGTTTAGAAACCACGCCCTCAACCACATTCCCATCCTCATCCACCCACCCTTTGTCCTCTATAAATCCCTCGGATACTTTCTTGTTACCACTTGTCGTACTCCTTAGGAAGGTGGCGTATTTTGTAGTCTTGGAAAATTCATGTACAACGGCATCCTTCCCAGCCTTAGCCTTCTTCCTCTCAGCCTTATCCGGCTTATCCAAAGCTTTTGACTTACTCGCAACATTTGGTGGAATTACGGTGTTGAAGAGGCATTCCGAGTTTGAGGTATATTTTGATTTGATCTTTCTCTTGTCTTTGTTGTTTTCCTTTAACTTTCCAGGCGCAGGCGGAGTCGTCCAGCCTCTCTTCACGAACCGGTCCTCGATCTCTGCTCCAATTATGGTATCATCCGTCCTCTTGCGCTTTCTCGAAGCTTTCGTCTGCTTCTTAGACTTCTCCGGTGCGCCCCCGTCATTGGCGACAGCCTCCTTCTGCGGTCGCGCTTTTTCAATGCGGACCTTTGAACCTTTCAAGATCGCGCCATTGAGCCGCTTCTTCACTTTCTCTGCATCCATAGCTGGAAGCTCTATAAAACCATATGCTTTCTCAGGAAACGTCTCGATCGAGTGGTAGGAGATGTTGCGTGCGTTTGGTAGGATCGATGGTGGGAGGATAGCTGGGAGGAGGTCGGGATTGAGGGGTGTAATGTGTAGCCTCGTGCACTGGGAATCCGCAATTATGGTCGCATCAGAATCCTTGGCACGAAATGCCATATTAATTCATCAATGTACAGGAGGTCGCATTGGATCGGTGGTGTCGTGTTCTGCGCTGCTTTGTGGAGCTTTGATGTGGTTGAAGGTCAAAGTTCTTTGGAGCTTGAAGATTTCAGTCGGCTAAACTTCGCCCCCGCAGCAACCACCCATTTACCCATTGAGAAACTTTCAAATGATTCTAAATGTGTAAGTCATAACAATGAACTTGAATACATATGAACACACCGACGGAGTTTTGTCTTCATTTTTGAGGTTTAGGAAAAACTTCCAGAGCACCCCTTATTGCAGCATGGGTTGCTCTATATAAAGATTAGCAAAAGCGAACAAGACCGGAGAAAAGACAAGCTTGTGCCGATGTGGAGGTTATATCACTCTTAACTGGCTTCTGTCACTTCCAAAAATAAAATAAACGGGTCGAAGAAAAGATTTCGAGTTTTGCCAATTCATCCCGCTCTCAACCATGGACGACTGCTCTCTCTACCTCGTTTGAGGAGCTACTAACCTTAAAGGATGCCTAAGAAAGGGCAAAAAGATACCATGGAGACTGGGGGAATTGAACCCCCGACCTTCCCCACACATTTACGGCCTAATCAGGCCATGCGAAGGGGAAATCATACCCCTAGACCAAGTCCCCTTGTGATTAAATCCTATCGGAAGACAGATCATGGCCGAACGTTGCTAAATTACCCTATCATACAAAGCTACAGGTGCCGGAAAGGCCCCATTCATGTGACTACTTAGTCAGCAAGTGGATACAAAAACAACAGGGGTTGTTGGAATTCGTGGCGCACGGTCCAAAACCACCAAAAAGTTAAGAACTCAGTATAACGTGGTTTATCACCGAGTCGGACATATCATCGAGTCGGACATATCATCGAGTCGGACATATCATCGAGTCGGACATATCATCGAGTCGGACATATCATCGAGTCGGACACTTTTCCTCAAATTCCACCCCATCAACTTTAACACGCGTTTTCTTAACAACTACAAATGGAAGTTCAAACTAAAGAAGCACGAATTATTCTAGCTATCGAGGCTATTCGAACGTCTAAAAAACTAAGCTAACGCTCCGTAGTAAAAATCTATAAAGTGCTACTTTCAACCCTCTCCGACAGAATAGCTGACCGAACCTACCGCCCTAAAACCAAGGCTAATGACCTTAAGTTAACTAAACTAGAGGAGGAAGTAATTATTCAAAATATACTCGACATAGATTCTAGAGGATTTACGCCCTAGTTAGCTAGTATAAAAGATATAGTAAATTTTATTCTCGAATCGTAGAAGGGGAGACGTGTTAGAAAGCTTTAGGCTTATCGATTTATATAATAATAACCTAAAGAAACGTTTTAATTACGTCTATAATTTTTAAAGAGTGTTATATAAAGATCTAGAGTTAATTAGTATATAGTTTTAACTTTTTATAAATATATAGGTAAAGTATAAGGTTTTAGACTATAATATCTATAGATTTAATAAAACTAAGTTTATAATAGATATTATTTATTCTAGAATAGTTATTTCTTATATAGATTAGTATAATAGAGATAAGATAGTCTAGTAAGATAATTAAAAGTAGACTATAGTAGTTACTTATATTAATAGAAAGAGCTAGAGTATTCCTCTATTCTTAATAGTTTAGAGTAAGTGTTATAGAGTTAAAGAAACTAGGGGCCGAGTACGTATAGTACGTAGTATATATATACTACTAGTATCTTATATTTAAGCTTCTATTTCTCTAGAACTCTCTTCTCTTCTTACTTTATTATTTACTTAATATAGTAGTTTTCGTTTAACTTTATATTTATTATAGTAAGTAGTAGTTTACTCTATATAATTATATTATAATAAAGTTATCTCTTTATCTAAAAAGACCTAACGTAGTTTATTACTAAGTGGCATATATTACTAAGCGGTACACTTTTCCTTAGTATAGGACTTTAAATACTAATAAACTAACTATAATAAAGTAAATTAACTAAAACTACTCTAAATCTATTAAAGCGACTACTTCTATAGTATCTTAATAAGTTCGTACATTATAGCTAGTCTCTCTATAGGCTCTATAGTATTTTATAGACGGCTGACCCTCTCTACGACTACTCTCTACTATATATATATCGCGTCGTACCTCCTTCTCTACTTTCTTATAGGCTATTATATCCTACGTATCTTCTACTATAAGTACGCCTCCTTAATAAATACGAGTCTTTTTCGCCCTATAACATTTACTAAGTACTAGATAAACTAGATACTCTTTATTTATAAGTAGAAAACCCTAGAGAAAAAACGTTAGTAGCTTTATACTTAGAAACGCGAGGTCGTAGTCTAGCTTTAAGAGACTACTACTAAGCTTCTTCGTCTTAAAACTAAAGAAGACACTCTTAAATAAAGGGAGTAAAAGATAATTATAGCTAGTCTTAACTTACTTACTAAATTAGATACTACTAAGAAACTAGAAAGAAAAGAGTATATAGTAGAAGTAGAAAAGAGAGAGAGAGAGAAACGAGAGCTAGTTCTAAAAGGCCTTCTAGCTTAGTCGACTTTGTCTTCTACTCTTACTTCTAGTTAGGTTCTTAACCCGACCCTTTTAGACCTATTTTCTAATCCTAGTATTCTATCTTCCTCTAAGCTAGTAGAGTAGGATTTTAATAGTAAAACACTATAAGCTTCTTAGAGTAGCTAAGTAAGAACTTAGACTTCTATATATTTTCTAAATGTAGATATTCTAACTATTTTATTAAGTACTTAATATTTTATCTAAAGTACTAATAATCTAAAATAGTCTTAATATTATATATAACGTTTAAGTTAACTAGTTTAATTTCTATAGTAGAAGCTAGTATAGCTTCTAGTAATACTTTCTTAAGTAATAAGATATAAAATACTAGAAAGATATTTATTATTCTTAGTAGAGCGAGTTTATAATTTAAATATTCTTTTATTTCTTATAGTCTAGTTTATTACTTAGTCTCTTTATTCTAAGATTTTATTATAGTAGATAAATATTATTCTCTTTTTATAGTATTAGCTTCTAACTACGCCTTAAATTATAGTATAAGATACTTTTTCTACTATAAATCTTAACTCTTTAGTAAGTTTCTAATATAGATTCTTAATTTTATTTATTTAAACTTATATAAGCTAATTATTAATACTAGTTTTCTCTAGCTTATAATATATACTTAATTTATATCTAAGATTAGTATAGAATAGTAATACCTTTATAGTTTCTAACTTTAAACTATTATATATAAACTAGACTAATAAGAGTAATAATATCTAATTATTCTATTTATAATTAATATAGTAGTATAAGTAAGCTTCTATAATCTAGTTTATTCTCTTAGTTTTACTATTTATTTATAAATAAAATAAAGTTAATAATTTTCTCTTAACTTCTAAGTAGATAGTTAAGATAGTCTAAAATTTAAATATAAAGAGCTTATCTTAGTCTAAGATTATTTCTTCTAATATTCTATAGTTTATAACTACTTCTTATAAGAAGATAAATACTAGTTTCTTAGTAGTACTAGATTCTAGATATAATATAGTAATTATATACTTAGTAAGTCTTTTTATAATAACTAGAATAGAGTTATATACTACTTCTATTATTAGATCTTTTAATAGTAGAAGTTTTATAATAAAATTCTATTAGATTAACTTTTATAGTATATCTAGAATTAGTATAGTTTCTATAAGTTTATATAAAGTATACTAACTAGCTTTATTTTATATATATATATTATAATTTCTAACTATCTCTTTTATAAGTATTAAGAGTTAGTTAATATAATAGTACTACTTAATTTACTAAAGAGTTCTTTAGATTTCTTAATATTTATAAACTAGTACTATATAGTACTTAAGAATAAACTTCTTTATATATTTCTTAGATATAACTAATCGTCTCTTCTAGTATTTAGTATTCTTTAGATCCTTTAGATTCTTCTCTTAAACTTAGATAATCTTATTATTCTATAGTTCTTTTATTCTTATAAGAATAGTAATCTTATAAGTATTAGAGATAAGATTACTATTTTTATCTTCTTATAGAATAATTATTTCTTTATAGGTTTTATTTCTCTTATACTTAGGTTACCTACTTAAAGCGTCTACTTATAAGTTATCTACTTCTTTAATATAGTAGATCTAAAGACTAAAATAAGAGAGTTTCTCTATCTACTAAACTATTCTTTAATTATTAAGAACTTTTATAGTTATAAAAGTATAAAGATTCTTATAGTTAGTATAAATAAT